CCCGCGCCCAGCTCCGGCCGCGGCAAGAAGGTGTTCGGCTGCTCGGAGTGTGAGAAGCTGTTCCGCTCGCCGCGCGACCTGGAGCGCCACGTGCTGGTGCACACAGGCGAGAAGCCCTTCCCCTGCCTGGAGTGCGGCAAGTTCTTCCGCCACGAGTGCTACCTCAAGCGCCACCGGCTGCTGCACGGCCCGGAGCGGCCCTTCCCCTGCCACATCTGCGGCAAGGGCTTCATCACGCTCAGCAATCTCTCGCGCCACCTGAAGCTGCACCGGGGCATGGACTGAAAAGGGCCACCGGCCCTCCGCCTGCCCTGCTGGGGGTAGGGGTGGGGGCGCGCTCTCAGGGGACCTCCCAAATCCAGACACACAGGCCCTGAGCCAAGGGGCCACCCTCCCCTGGCCACAGAGATGGGGCAGCCGACACCACACAGGTCTCTGAATTAGGGGGACCTGGACACGTGGGAACCGTAGATAAACTAAGCCAAGAGATTCAGTCAGGGCAGGGCCTGGAGCATAGTCGTGGCCCCACCCACTAACTAGGACGATTTCTGAGCTTGAGGTCCCAGGGATAAAGAAGCAGGGCACCCCCAAGTCAACAGGCCCCTCGGCTGGGTGGGAAATGAGGACTAGATTCCTTTAAGGACCCCTCATCTTGAAGGCCCCCCAAAAAAACAGGAATCCCTCAAGGAAAATCGCCTCTATTTCTCAAGAGCCATCATTTCCAATCTGGAGAATGTGGGAGGGCCATATTCTGGAATTTCCCTGGGTCCCTCGTGCCCCAAGTGCTACCCACTAAAGTCTTATGGATAGGCCCCCCCAGAAAGGATACCGCCACAATCTGCCTTCCCTCGTTTTCATTCCCCAAATCAAAAGAGGACCAGCGTAGGTACTCCGCGACCCAGCTCCCCTCGGATCAGGTGTCTGTCCAGCGTGCAGAGGACCCTGATGACCGCCCTCCACCCCCCAAACACTAGAGTAGGCTGGCTCGAAGTCTCCCTGCCCAGTAGAATGAGTGTCCAGATAGACACACCCCCGTCCACATGGAATAGACTGGTCCAGGCAGTGCCCAGCGCCTCGCCCTCTTTGGAGAGAACAGAGTGACCCTCCTGGTTCCTGGAAGGCAGGCTCGAAGCTCCTCAAGTCACAAGCCAGTGGTCAGGGTCGCTCCCGTCCTCTGAAGTCATCCGAGCAGAGAGGGCCTGGGTGTTTGGGGCTGCACTCTTGCTCTCTGTAGCACCTGTCCGCCTTTCCATCTCTGTCCATTTGTGTGCCCCTCCGAACCTCAAGCAGAAGCGGGGCATCAGTTTGAGATCCCCTCCCTCACACCAGTGTGCCTCCACCTCCTCCTGTTCCCGTGTCTTCAGAACCCAAATAAACCTCATCCTGTCAGTCAACGGCTGTCATTTTTTTTTCCTCTTGAACTCGAAATGGGATAGGGAGTCTCTTGGACCAAGATTTGACTTCCTCAATATAGACAACTAACTCATCCCCCTACCACACTCTTCTTCATAAAGTCCAGCTTCACAAATAATTTGCTCAGCTTACAAATTGAACAGATATGAAGAGAAGATAGAGCCCTGACATACACGTTTCTTTATTTTATTTTTTTTTATTTTATTTTATTTATTTTATTTTATTAATTTTGTGTGCGTGTACCGTCAAATCAGATCTGACTGATACAGGAGGAGATTGCCCCTCCTTCCCTGGCAGAGCATCTGATGGATTCGAACCGTGCACCTCTGGGATTGTAGTTGCAGCTTCTTGCCACTAAGCCACCAGAGCTCTCCCACGTTTCTTTATTTTAAACCATGTAGTGTGGACCTCTCCAAAGTACTGAAGAGCAATGGTGTCTCTCTGGAGACTAAGGTGTGTCTGATACAGGCCACGGTCTTTACAATCACTTGTTATGCATCAGAGAGTTGGACAATGACTAAGGAGGATAGAAGGAGAATTGATGCCTTTGAGCTGTGGTGCTGGAGAAGAATATTGAGAGTACCATGGACTGCTAGAAAAACAAACAGATTTGTCCTGGAAAGGGTTAAACCGGGTGGCTCCTTAGAGGCAAGGATTCTGAGGCTCCGTCTAACATACTTTGGACATGTTGTGAGGAGAGACCGGTCCTTGGAGAAGGACATCATGCTTGGGAGGGTGGAGGGACAGCGCAGGAGGGGAAGGCCCTCTATGAGGTGGATTGATTCAGTGACTGGGATAATCTGGATGGGAGTGTCAGAGACAGTGCAATTGGCACAGGACAGAGCAGAGTATAGGGCTGTTGTACATAGGGTCGCTATGAGTAGCAAGCGACTCGACATCTCATAACAACAACACAACAGTGTTCGCTCATTCTGTTCTGACAACAGCCTCCTGGTCTAGGTATAGGTTTCACCTGAGCACAATTAAGTGTTCTGGGATTCCCATTCTCTTCAATGTTAGCCAGAGTTTGTTACGATCCACACAATCAAAAGCCTTTTGTATAGTCAATAAAACACAAATGGGCAGTCTTTTGATATTCTCTGCTTCCAGCCAGGATCCACTTGACATCAGCGATGATATTCCTGGTGTCATGATCTCTTCTGAACAGAGTTTGAAGTTCTGGCAGTTCTCTGTCAGTGTTCTGTCCCAGTCAATTTTGGATGTACCTCATGAACATTTTGCTTGCCTAATATTTTGTTTTGCAATATTAATGATATAGTTGAAGGATGTGATATCAGGATTGGAGGAAGACACATCAATATCCTTTAGTTTTTATTTTATTTAATTAGTGTGTGTGTGTGTGTGTGTGTGTGTGTGACATCAAATCAAATCCAACTGGTACAGGAGGAGACTGCCCCTCCTTCTCTAGCAGAGCATCTGGTGGATTTGAACCTTATACCTCTTGGATTGCAGTGCAGCTTCTTGTCACTAGGCCACCAGAGCTCTCATCAATAGCCTTTATTATGCAGATTATGCAGCCTGGCTGACTGAAAGAAAGGACGACCTGAAACACTTGTTGCAGAAGATCAAAGACAACAGTTTTGAGTATGAATTGCATCTCACCATCAAGAAAGCAAAGATCCTTACCACTGGGCCAAGAGGTAACAAAGAGCATGATCAATGGAGAAAAGATTGAAACTGTCAACAATTTCATCTAGCCTGGATCCCCAATCAACACCATCAGTACCAACAGTCAAGAGATCAGAAGAGGCATTGCACTAGGACCATCTGCTCCCAGCGACCTCTCCGAAGTACTGCATCCCAATGATATCAGCTTCAAAACCAAGGTGTGTACCTGAGTCAAGCCTCATTCTTTTCATATTAAGCATCTGACAGCTGGACAATGAACAGGGATGACAGAAAGATGAATGCCATTGAGCTGTGGTATTGGAGAAGAGTACTGAATAACCAGTGGAGGCCAAAAGAACAAACACACATGTCGTGGAGCAAGTGTGGCCAGGTTGCCCCTGAGAGGCAAGGGGTGGCGAAGCTTTGTTTGGCACGTTTATAGGAGAGGCTGTTCTTTGGAAAAGAATATCATGCTTGGAAAGGTGAGTGGTTAGCAAAAGAGAGGAAGACCATCAATGGAATAGATTGACGCAGTGTTTGCAGCGATGGAATAAAGTGTATTAGAGATGAGAAGAATGGCATAGGATAGCACAGGGCTCAGATCTGTTGCTCATAGAGCTGCCATGGTCATATTGTACCTGACCACACCCTACAAAAACCTTAGCAACTAGCCTAGAGGAAAGAAATCACACTGCCAACCCAAAGGCATGTGGTCTTCATGAGTCAGAGGCATGGGACAGAGGCAATTTCTTCTCATGTGATTTGTTATTAAGGTGTCATCGAGTCAGTGACCCCCTCCTAGTGACCGTAGGAACAGCAGATCTTAACCTTGTCCTGCCCTGTGCCCTCCTCACCAACTCTGTCACTGCCGTAGTCAATGTTTCAATCCATCTCATCAAAGGTCTTCCACTCTTTGGTCGACCCTCTCTACCTTTTCCAGCATGACGTCTCTCTCTAAGAATTAGTTTCTTTTGAAAATATGCCCAAAGTATGTGATCTGAAGTTTCACAATCCTTGCCTCTAAGGAGCACTCTGTTTACATTTCCTTCAAGATGGATTTATTTGTTCTTTTGGCAGTCCGTAAGGTATTCAGTACTGTTCACCAACAACACAATTTAAAGACATCGATTCTTCCTCCTCCTTATTCAGTGTGCAGCTTTCAGATGCATGAGAGGCAACTGAAACTACCACCGCTTGGATCAAGAGCACCAGAGTCTTAAACTGACATCTTTGCGCTTTAGAACTTTGGAGAGGTCCTTGGCAGCAGATTTACACATCGCAACACGTCTTTTGAGTTTCTGAGTGCTGCTACCAAGGATGCTGATCGTGGGTTCTGGTAAAAGGAGATTGTTGAAAACTTCAATCTTTACTTCACCGCTCATGGTGTTGCCTGTTGGTCCAGTGCTCAGGGTTTATTTTCGTGATGTTGAAATATTATCCGTGAACCCCCTAGCAACCAGATACGTCCCATAGCAGTCACACCCATCCCCTAAAAGCCAGACATACCCCCTGGAATCCCATGCCCCTGATCTGAACGGCACATCACTGGTTACCATCAGACCAGGCCCCTAGGAATCAGGACACGCCCCCTGGAGAGCCAGGCCTGGCCCCTGGGATCAGGACACGCCCTTCAGCAGTTAGATCCACCCTCTGGGAATCAGGACACGCCCCCTTGGGATTAGAACACGCCCCTTAACAGCCGGACACGCCCCCTGGAAGCCAGACCCCACCCCTTGGATCAGGACATGCTCCTAGCAGTCAGACCCGCCCCCTGGGAATCAGGACACAACCCTTAGCAGCCAGACACCTCCCCTTGGTATTAGACCACACCCCTTATCAGTCAGACCCGCCCCCTGGTGATCAGGACGAGCCCCCTGGAAGCCAGATCCGCCCCCCTGGGATCAGGACATGCCCCTTAGCAGTCAGATCCGCCCCTGACAGTCAGACTGTCCCCTGAGTTCACACCACGCCCCTTAGGCACCAGGAACGCCCCCTTGGTGTCAAGCACACTGCCTGTGAGTCAGACACACCCCCGGGAACACCCTCTTGGAGTCAGGCACACTGTCTGGCATTCAGACACACTCCTTGGAATCTGGACACATCTGCCCAGAAACAGCCCCTGGGAGACACCTGCTAGCAGAACACGCCTCCTAGAAACCAAATTACCTCCTCAGATACAAGATTCTGGACATCCCACCTCTCAGTGTCTGTTTCTAAGCAACCAGATGCATACCTAAGATGTT